GCACTCCTTATGAATTGTGGAAAGGTCGACCGCCTTCCTACAAATACTTAAAAAGTGTGGGGGTGTTTGGCAAAAGTTGAAGTTCTTGTTCCTAAAAAGACTAAGATTGGACCAAAAACAGTAGATTGTGTGTTTATTGGTTATGCTCAGAATAGTAGTGCATATCGATTAGGATTAACTGAAACTAATCACATTGGTTAAGTCATTAATTTTGATTATTGCATTGATACAGAAAATACGTGTATTGATTGAGAATTGCATTTGCATACTTTGTTTTGTGTGGGAGGAGATAAGGGATGTACTCTACGGTTTAGGGGAAGATAGGTGATGGATCTCTAAACCGGATTTTGTTTGGGATGAGATAGGGGATGGACTCCATTAGCATCACTTTTATGTGTGTTTATTTATATAGAAGTGTTTTATTGATACAGCACTAAAATGTGTATCAATCTGGAAGTATGAAGTGTTTTGATTTGAGCTTGAGTCTCATTTGTTTGTTGATATTGGAAGGATGTGAATATTATATATGTGATTCACTGTTGTAAGTTTGGCCAGGTTCTGAGCCATGTTGATAATAAAGAAAAGTGAAACGTGACTTAGACATTAATGTCATGAAACGGTATAATGATGTAATTGATTATCTTGGTTAACCATTTGTTGAATGCTATTGCTTTATTCATTACTTATTTGTGGTTTAGTATATTTCTGCTGGGCTGTGGCTCACCCTTTATGGGAACATCATTTTCAGGTTCAGGTGATAAGCTACCTCCAAGGACTTAGCTTGGAAGGACTTGGATTTTGAAGACTGTTTTTAGTTATTTGTTTTTCGTTGTTAGTACATGTAAACACTCAAGCCTAGGGCTTTATTTATATTTGAGTTAGAACTCATACTTTGTGTCCAAGTGTTGGCTTGGAAAGATGTAAGCCGGTAGGGCATTTACTTTGATGTTACATGTAATGCTTTTGTTTAGTAAGACTCTAATGGATATTATAATGAATTATTAAAGTGTTTTCTTTAAATAATGCATGTCAATGATATATATAATGGGTATATTTTTGAGGGCGTCACAGTTGTCTTGGCTAATTAAAATCTAAATTAGCATGTTGTAGTTAAATGAAGAAAAGCCCTAAATTATATTTTGGTTGCATAAATTAAAATGGGGGTTTGTTGACCATTGTGTGTAAATCTCTTTTGTCAAAATGAGTGTGGTAAGGGTGTTAATGCCTAAGGGATTAACTATGGCTTTGGAGTTGATTTTATGGAAACAAGATTAGTGGAGTTGGTTTTGTGATAACAAAAAGGAAATGGAATCGTTTTTGTGAAAATGAGGGAAGTGTTTCGAAATAAGTTTGAGAATTGGATTGTTGTATCTTGAGTGTTGAACACACATGTAGAAGTTGTATCTTTAACTACCATGTTAATATTGTTGTTGGGTTTGTGATTCATGATAATTGAGTTTGTTAATAGATGTACGATATACATGCATCTAGAGGTTTTGTCCTTGGTCATCGGTGGAGGATGACGTGGTTGTGTTGAATTGTCGTGTATGCATTATACCATTATTGATTGAATGTCGTGTGTGATAAAGTGTTGAGATACATTATATATGTATGCTTGCTCGGGAGGAGGTAGTTATGTGTTCATATGCTTTAACACATAGTTTGTGTCTTGATGGTTTGTGTATATGTGTTATACATGTTGGTTATACCCTGTTGCATTTCGATTGGTGGTGTTATACCTTGCGCTAAGAATCAGAGGTACCGTGACCTTCCAGCTAGCGCCTGGAGAACTGACTGCGCTGAGAATATAAGGCACCATACCCTTCCAGCTAGCGCCTGGTAAACTGGCATGTTGTTGTGAGAGGTGTATCTTTGGCTTACTATGCACATAGCTAGTAGAGCAAAGTTTTGTTGTTGATATTTCAGTGTGTTTGGGAATATCATGGATTGTGTTGATTGTGGTTTAGAAGGGCCGAGTTACCTCATTGGTTTATCTTATGCATGTCGGTGAGTTGTTATCTCTTTTTATAACAGTGCATGTATAGAGTTGATTGTATCGGGAAAAAGCCAAAATGTCATATTTGTCTTTTGGAAAGTGTGAAGGAGAATGGACTTTTTAAAGAAACATATATTTTAAAAAGGCATATCTGTGTATGTGTGGGAAATGGAAGAGAGTAGTGGGCTTAGTGAATTTATTTCCTAAGGTATTGTTAATGTTATGAAAGATTGGGAACGGGGATTAATGAAAAGATAAAGAAAGATGAATCGCCTATGGTGTTGATTGAAATGGTTGTTTTTTTCAAGAAAAGTTCATACTTATTATATTTTGTGTAAACTGTCACATTACTATTCTAGTATGAGAATGAGTGTTCATGATCATAGCTATCTGTATGTTGTTATTGTTGAGGGCCATGTTGAGTTCCCTACTGGACTATATGTTCATCCCACGTTGTTGAATCCTTTTCAGGTATTAAGCAGGTTGAGCTGCAAGATTTGGATCTACTTATTTACTGGCCACGGGGCCTCAGCTATGTTGGCGGAATGCCATTGTTGTAAAAGGGTTACACCCTTCTTCTTGTACCTTAAGTGATGTAAGCCCAAGGGCAATTTATTAAGTATGTTCATGTAATATTTACTTTGCATACGAATGAGAGTATTGTTAATCACTTCTACGGATTGAATGTATGAGTTTATTTCCGCATGTTATCCTTGAAATTGAATTAAGTTAATGAATTTGGTAATGACTTCGAGTAATAAAAAGTGGGGCATCACATTACCTCTCAAGCAATAGAAGAAAAAAAATATTCATGCAAAAGAATGGGTAAATTACACTTTACATCCTTATACTTTACATCTAATCCTACTTTACCTTTTGACCTTTTAATTGTTTTAGTCAACCCCTCCAGACTTTGAGTCAAATTGGAATTGGGCCCATTTGTATAACCTTCTTTCAAAAACTAACAAAAGAATAGTCATGTGATAGAATTAATTACAATTAGCACGCTTGTACTTTTATCAAAATCTCACTTTATTCCTTATCCACTAGTATTTTTACCAAAATCTCATTTTAAGACAATGTTATATGCTTAGGCCCAATTGAAACTAGACTTGAAGTCTAGGGGCTGACTGAAATAATTCAAAAATCAAGGGGCAAAGTAATAAATGGTGTAAACTATAGGGATAGAGTGTAATTTGGCCCAAAAAAGAATCAACACTAACAAACTTGAATATATATACAAAGTACCCGACCTATCTAAAGCCACAATAGGTTTAACCAACCTACAAGGCTCTTAAAAAGTAGAGAAATAAGAATTACTATCACAACCCCAATCAGCTAACACATCTGCAACACTATTTACTTCAATGAATATTTTTCTTCTAAAATGGCTTTTCAGTAGCTATGTTCATCATACATGAGAATTTAAGGGTATGCATATTAGAAAAAATGGAATAACAAGCTTAAATCTAGCAATTTGTCATCATTAGTAAGTTAAAATGAACAAACACTACATGGGTAATTTAATTGGAAATAAATCATTGCGATAGAAAAATATATACCAGGAGCAGCATAACCAAAGGTCCCAGCAAAGGAAGTCCAATTGGATGAGTTGAGATTCATAAATCTAGCTGTGCCAAAATCAGATATGTGAGCCACATACTCCAAATCAAACAAAACATCCTTGCTTGATATGTCTCGATGGATGATTGGTTGAAAACAATCATGGTGCATATAAGAAAGAGCATTTGCCACACCTTTTACAGTGTTCACTCTCTTAATCCAATCAAAGATTACAATATCATCGTCCATGCTCAGTACCTTTCCCAAGCTTCCCCCTTCCAAGAACTCATAAACCAAAAACAAATGCCTTAGGTGTGAACAATAACCATACAATTTACAATGTTGTGATGTTGAATCTCAGTTAATGCACAGATCTCACTTGTAAACCCTTTTAAATTAGCCCAGTCATCATCAAGTGTTGCATGAAGTTTCTTCACAGCAACTACTTGACCATTTGGTAGGTCAGCTCTATAAACGGCACCATATCCTCCCTCTCCAACACAATATTTGGCACTGAAGTTCTCAGTGACTTCAATGATGTTTTCATAGACCATTTTTCCATCATAGCTCCATATTGCAAAAACATTATCATGGTTTACTCGTGACTGCTCGTTTTTTGTGTTCGTCACTTTCTTACGAAAAGCCATGAAAATGCCAAGAACCATTAGCAAAAGAAACAAAATTCCAAAAACAAGAAGTACATACAAAACACTTCAATATAAATAAGCACACATAAAAGTGATGCTAATGGAGTCCATCCCCTATCTCCTCCCAAACAAAATCCGGTTTAGAGGTCCATCCCCTATCTTCCCCTAAACCGTGGAGTACATCCCCTATCTCCTCCCACACAAAACAAGTATGAATGCAAATAGTCAATCAAATAGCACAATCGTATAATTTTCAATCAAGTCAAAATTAATGACTTAACCAATGTGATTAGTTTCAGTTATTCCTAATCCACATGCAATGTCTACAACAATCACGACTATCCTCCACCGATAGCCAAAACAGTTATTTCTAGACTTGGAAACAAATATTAATCTTTCCTCCTCCTATACT